GCGGGGGGGGACAGCGCGCGAGGGCGAGGGGCGCGCGGGACCGGCGGGCGCGCGGGGGGCGGAGGGCGCGGTGCCGGCCCCTGTGGGGCCGATCCCTGTGGGGCCGATCCCTGTAGGACCGATCCCTGGGGAGCCGATCCCTGGGGAGCCGATCCCCCGGTGCCGATGCCCGGGTCCGCCCGCGCCGGGCGGCGGCCAGCGCGCTCTCGGCGGGCGGTGGCCGCGCCCCAGGCAGTTGCGGCTGCGGTTCCGTCCGCAGCTACAGGCGCCGGGTAACGCTCCCCATTCCGATCACCGAGGGTTTCTGTAGGCAGCCAGTTGCCAAATCCTGGGAATCCTGCCGAAATCCTCGGTGGTGTGTCCCGCTGTCCCCGGGCCAGCCCCGGACCGCGCCGCCTCGTCCACGCTGTGCCCCGGCCGGGAGTTGGCCCCTGTTTCTCATCCTACCACAGCTTCAGGGCCGAGATCGCCATGCTTTAAATTGTTCACAAAATGGAATAAAACGCCGCTAGTGCAAGTAACGCTATAGGAGAGGAGATTTCGCTTAAATACAGTTCATTGCGTGGGCTGCTGGGGCTCCAAGCTCCAGCGCAGGAGAGGTGCCATCCACGCTGCCTCCCGTCGGGAACGTGCCTCTCTCCTGCGCTGGAACCGCTGCTGTGTCCTGACAGAACACAGGCATGTTTGCATCAGGTTTTATCTGTCAGCATCTGACAGGGAGAAAACTTCAGTCGGCTAAAGCACAGCGTTTTCCATAAATGAGAACAATTATGCAAAGTGACGCTAGTTGTTGTATTTCTGTAAATACTAATTTACTGGCGAGGTTACATGCTAGGTCACCAGCAACATGAAGAGGAAGCTTTTAAAATAGGATTTTCATGTGTACATACAATTAAGTAATTTTAAAGACAAAGGTCGTGTGTATAATTCTAACATATTTAGCAAAAAGTCTTTGCTATATATATTCACCTTAGCAAGTAATCACTTCCAAATTCTGGGCAACATAATGAAATGCTACCAATTAACAACTCCCCAGAGAAGCTGAGATCAAAGTTTCAGATGCAGAAGTATATAAATTCTCAGTGTGGACTAAAAATATATGCATTAATCACTAAGAAACAACAGTAGCCTTATGGAGTTGCAAATAAAATATTTTTAATCCAACTATTCCAAATAGTAGACTATTATTGATACATCGCTTCATAATTTGTGCAAGTGTTGCACAATTAAAAAATGTCTGGACTCACATTATTTAATAAAAGTGATAAGTACTTCAATTTTCAGTGCTGTTCTGCACTTGCTGCATATCAGCAGTGAGAGTGAGCTGGCAGTGACTACGAATCTGATGTTATCAGCAGGTTTAGGCCATGTCTCCAGGTTGTATTAATCCCACCATGCTTTCCTACTGATCCTCCATGACCCTGAAGGGATTAGAATGACAACACCTCCTGAGAAGCAGACTCAAGATGAACAGAGAAATCACAGTGAGTGTACGGCAACACAAGGAGCAACTTGGGTGTGCCATGGCCAAGTTCCTTCTGTAGCTCTGTGGCAGCTCCAGCTACGTCTAACCCAGCACAAAAGCACTGCCAAGTCACGTTCTGCACCACTGCAGCTCAGGAACTGCACGGCCATGAAGTGTGCAAAGCTTCTTACCCTCAACTACAAAATTCTATCAAAAGGAAGAAGAGGCTGCAGCTGACTAAGGCAAACTCTGCTTTTGGCATCTGGAAATGTTGTTCCTTTATATCGAACTTGCTAAGTTGCTGAGTCTGAGCAGACAATAGTCAACACAGTTAATTTAATGTAGGGGAGAGGTCAGAGTCAGACCATTTTAAGCTTGAGGACCAGATTGGATCTGTGTGCATCCTACAGAACCACGATCCAATTATACACATAAGTTACTAATGTAAAATCATCCCCCAGGCCAGGGAAATAGTACATACCTGCAGCAGACATTGTGTAAGGTTTTCAAAGTAGTACAGGGGATTTAGTCATATATCTACCAATAAAATTAATAGCTAATGAATTAATAAAAATAGTGCAGCCTTCTGAGTAGGTTAAAAGGTCGGTTTAAATGTATATCTGCATCTAAATAAGAAAGGATAAAATTAATTGTTTTTAATCAAGGCAATAATTCCATGGCCCCACCGTCTCCCTAAATACTATCTATGAATCTCAATTTTAAGTATAGCTAGGCACTGTTGGCAGCAGAGCTTAATTTTGAATACCTCAAATGTTTTATTTTTTGTATTTAAATAATTCTGAATAAGAAAACATAAACAAACAAAGGTTATATAGATCATTAGACATTTGTGCCAATTTCCATAAAGGACACATCAGGCAAAGGCTGGAAATATGAGAGTTCAAAATTAAAAAAAAGACAAAACAAACCTCCCATTTTGATTGCTTTGTTAGACCTAAGAAAGCTTGTGCAGTGGAAATTTCGTATTTTGGCAAAGCCCTATCAATCAAAACTACATATATGTGCATATATAGGTACATCTCTCTATATATGCAGCTATCTCATCATGGTTTGATGGAACCTTGAGCGCCTGTGACCCCTGCAAGCTCTAACAGAGCAGTCTGACTCTTTTCACCTGCTTCTTTATCAATTTTTTTTCCAACTACAGTGTTCGAGGTACAAAATCATTAAAAACCCTTTTCTGTTCATCAATACCTTGCTCAGCCTATACTGTATCTATTGCTGCTCAGCTCGCTATAATGGCATTTCCAAATGGGGGTCACAACAAAGTATTACAGTATTTCTTAGCAACAGGTATAGCACCCATAGCCATTAACATAAATAATTCAGCTCATCCAGTCTATACGTTCAAAATGTCTTTTCTCAGATCTTATCTACTGTTCATAAACAAGAATGTCTTGAAGGGGAATCTGACCTTGCAGCAAGTGGTGTAATGACAACAGTACCCCGTAATAGGAATGCAGGCTTGGACAGGAGCTCCTGGGGTTTCAAGCCAGCCAGCATGATCCATAATCCGTTGCAGAAACTGCTCATGGTCTGGGTTAGGGCCACTAAGTTTTCCCAGGGCTACTGTTCTTATGGAAGACTGCTACTATTTGTGTGTAGGAAGAAGTGCAGAGGAGCACCATGAACGGTGGAATGAAAACACCATTTTCTGAACTCATTTAATCAGTGTAAATCAGAAAAATCTTGGCTAATTCCAGCTAAAGCACTCCTGAATTACAGTGGGATGACAGCTTTGAATTAAAAACACATAAAGGCTGTGGATGAAACTATGCACACTCTCTTCTTTATGCACCTTCCCTTCATTCCACCTCTAAGAAATAGAGAAGCATTCATTGTCTTCCCATTTCTCAGGTGATGAGAGAATAAGCCACCCCCAGAGTCAGAAAGGAAACCTTATTCATAGCCAAGATCTGAATTCTGCTCTCATCAGTGCCAAATCAGTCCCTTGCTTGGGAGGGTACTTCATCACAAAATTATTACTGATACCCTTTTTGTGGAAGTGCCAGCATTACAGACTAGCAAGTAATCTACCTATAGCATTCATTATCATTATCAGTCCTTTCAGTGAAGACTCAAACCATCCCATCACGCATCTCAATAAATCAGCATGGCTAACATATGCCAAAAAAACGTTTTTTCTTGACCCTCAAAGCTTATGCTGCTGAAGCAGGAAGCTTGTTTGTCCCCTGCATTGTTGTAATCTAGTGCATACAGCTGCAAATGTTGTCTTTGCTCACAAAGCTTCTTAAATCCTTTTTTAATTCTTTGCCTTGGTGACTGCCCATGACAATTGGATTCCATAGACAGAAAATATACTGTGTGAAGTAGTATTGAAAACGTATTCTGGGAGGTTTTGCTCTATGAATTGGGGCATAGAGGCTGCAGTTAGCTGACTTCACTAGGCACTTGATGAAGCTTCATCTTCTGTGAAGCTTCCTTTGCCTCCATGATCTGTATTACCCTCCATTACTCTTTGTTCCGCACAGCTGATTTTCTGGCTCCTTTTTAGGTCCTCTGAGGAAAATCCTGGCCCTCACAAATGTATCTGAGCACCTGTGCAGCCATGCACATAAAAATAGGAAAGGAAGAGCACACACAAAGATTAGGATCTTCCAACATACAGGGCACCACAGGGACTCTCTGGACTCCCCTCCCAGGCTGAAGTCAGTAATTGATTTTAATGGGAGCAGGGCTGAGCTAATGCTGGCACTTTGGAAAATCCCACCCAAGGGATTCAGTGATATTGAAAGTGCTTGAGGCAGGTTAACTGCAGGCATTTCCACTAATGGGGAATGGCGCAGTTGTCTTTATTAATTTTCCTTCTCCAAAGTGCAATTAGCATGTATGTATTTTTATTTCTTTAGGAAAAAAAATAGCATAAAATGCTTCTATTTCTAGAGATTCTTACTGAAAGGCAAATAAATTAGTGATTTTCTGCAGCACAGTTACAGGTCTTAAGATCTATCACACCCCCAAGATCTATTAATACTCTCTAGCTGCCCTTCTTTTTCCTGTATCTGACTTAATATGATTATGA